TCCAGAGGACCTACTTATTTTTTCTTTCTGATTTTTTTCTACCTGGATTACTGAGATGCATCAGGACCTTTGGAATATTTGTTTTATTTCCCGTTTAACTTCCAATGGATAGTTTCTGGAAATTTACCTAAAAAAATGTAAATACTACTTAACTTAGCAGATGATTTTTGTTGGAGATCATAAAGGGAGGGGTCTTCATGGTACAGAAGTGTTCAGACTCCTTTGCAACTCTAGCTGTAAAAAGTTAAATTTGAACAAATGTGTCACGTTTGTTTTGTTCTTTGTTCTATTTTTTAAGTGTCTGCACTGCGATAAATCCTTCCTGAATTCCACCTTCCTTCAGAACCACACGCAGCGTCGGCATCCCGAGGAGTATCAGCTCCGTGAGTCTATCAGTCAAAATTCAGCATTTTACCTGATGTGACCTAAGGTTTCCACGACTCTGGCTTCTCTCACACTTTGTCTTCTCGCTTCCTGCTCCTTCAGAACTGCAGTCCGACGGTGAGAAGAAATCTCAGATCGAAAGCCTCAAACAGGAGATCAGCAGCCTGAAGGAGCAAATAGTTCAGCATGAGCAGGCTCTGCAAACCAAAATAGCCGAGGTAKCGTCTCATCAGCTCTTTTCAGTCAGTAGTTTTGAAATACAAACCAGTCAAAGGATGAAAGCTTGTATCTCAACCACTGGACAGAAATTGTTGCTTTGAAGTGTGTTTGATCAGAAACTGAAGAAATGCGTGTTATTCCAGGAAAAGGAACAGCAGAACATGCACAAGGAGCTGCAGAGAGAGCTGGAGCGCTTCAAGGCAGAGGAGATGGCTCGCATGGACAGGAAGATCGAGGACAGCAGGGACGGGATGCGCCGCGAGATGGAGTTCCTCTACAACCGGAACATCCAGGCTCTGAGCGTACGAGACGGACGTTTCCTCTTCTTGGTGCCGCGCTGCTTCGATGCGAAACTCCCTCTAACGCTCACGTGTGTTTTCACTCGCAGGAAGCAAGTCAATCGTCCAAAAAAGAGAAAGCCGTCAGTCCTGTGAGCTTACAGCCAGAGAGGGACGTGGACGTGTACAGAGAGATGCAGCTCCAAGCCATCCAAAAGCTTGAACAACAGATGAAGAAGCAGGTAAGATATTTAATGGTCATAACCTCTCCACATAACCCCACTTCAGAAGATCTCAGTTATCTATTTAAGTGATTTTTTTTTCTAATCCTGTTTTTAGGATAGAAAATGGGAATCCAGACTGCAAGAAATCAAAGGTCATCATGAGTCTGAAAAGAATCAGGTAAGCATCCTCGACCGGCTGCATGCGTCAACCTTGTTGAAAGGGGTCAGTGACGAGCTCGTTCTCTCCCTCCTCCTCCACTTCCTCTAGCTGCTGACCGAGCTGAGCCGGATGCAGTTGTCCGTGTCGGAGCACCAGCAGCAGAGCCAGCAGCTGCAGCAGGAGATGAGCCGGAAGCTGCAGGAGATGAGCAGGAAGCTGCAGGAGAAGGAGCAAACTATCAAGGCTCAGAGGGAGCAGGTCTGATCGCCYCTCACATACTGTTCTGAGTGGTTCTGTCGGGTCAGGAAGTGTTCAGCCTTGTTCAGGATATCCTCTATTTGATACAAGCTCCTGTGTTGATATTTTATGTTACAGTAGGAAGGTAGTGGAGGATTTTTTTAGCTGTTTTATTTGATCTTAAAGGAGACCAATTATGGGTCCTAGAKATGTTTAAGGTATGTCTGTGGGCTATCCWGACCATGTTTATTCAATTTAATGCACAAAATAATTCTCAGATAATAAAATTTCCCTAGTTTTCCAGTTCTGCCTGCTCTGACTTCCGTTCAGAAGAGCTGTTTATGTTAATGAGCTCTGTTGGTAACGCCCTCCAAAAATCTATTGACATTAACTCCACCCTCCAAAGCCAGCGTTTATGTTAGCATGGCTAATAATAACAGAAGCTTCGTTGTACAACCATATAAGACCCAGAGGCAGAGTCGGTCGCAGCTTCTTTTTTTTTCTCCCCCTCTTCTGCTTTGAGCTCACTGTGCATGCTGTTACCAGAGCAGGGAGCAGCAGCGGTCAAAATACCTCAGAAACTCGAACAAATAGGCTTTAACAAGGCTTTAATAAGCTAAACAATAGAGGTACATGAGAAAATGTGTTCATAACGAATGAAAATAAATAAATAAATAAATAATTTAATAGTGTCCATGCCGGTCTCGAACCCTGGTCTCGCACTCTCTGGCACAACACACTACCCATTGCCCTATTGGAGGCTTGTTGTGAAATGAGCTGCACATTGCACAACACTGTGACAGCTTTTTATATTAAGGAGGAGGAGTCTCACCCYGGGGTTGCTAGATAAGGGGCTGAACGCAGGTTCCGGTTGTCGTACGGCTTGTGACATCACAAAATAATGGAAGTATAAAACCTGTCGTTAATATACATTTAAAATACATTTACTTACAGTAAATATGCCCCTGGGTGCATTTTTTTGTTTTTGGTCCTAGGACTGTTTTTTAAGAAATATATACCCAAAGTTGAGTTAAAAAAACCTTTAAAAAATGAATTTTGCATAATAGGTCCCCTTTAACACACTGATAACACAGATTACTCCATTTGAACCGTTATTGGTTATTCAAATATATTAAAGTGAAGGCACAGTTTTGTTACACTTCCTTTGTTTTTATTACCTGGATTCTTTTTTATTACCTGGATTCTTTTAGGAACAAATTCAACAAATAAAAAAATAATCTTCATCAGTGAGGTTCATAGTTCTGAAACGTTTAGTTTAACACCGAAGTTATGGACTGTAGCACTGGTCGCTAATTAAAAGCTATCAAAAATAACTAGAGTTCAAAACAATTGCTGAAACCTAAAATTAGCAAATCTATTTTTAAATGTTGCCAAACTCTGGCAATAGGTTAGATGTTTAAAAATTTCTTGAAAGCGAAATGTAGCACAAGGCTAACTAACAYTATGAAAATGCTAGCTAGCTATAAACTAAAAATAATAACATACTAACTAAAGATAATTAAAGAAATCGTGTCTTCTAAATAAATGTTCACTTCTGAAGGACTCTGCTAAAAAAGCTAAAACTGGGCTAATAAAACTGAATGTAGAAAAACTAGTTAAGAGTAGCTAAATGCTAGCTAAATTTACAAAATGCTACCCTGCAAAAGACTAGTCACAGTTTAGGTTTTTAAAAATTAGAAAAGTGAAATGTAGTAAAATGTTAGCTAACAGTACCAAGATGCTAGCTATCAGCTAAAAATGAATGAAATGCTAATCAAAAGTTCTAAAACAATGGCTAAAAGCTAAAAGTAGCTAAAAGTAACTAAACTATAGCCGGTCAGTCTGCTCTGTGCTCCTCTCCACTTCAAATATGACAAACATTAAAAATAAAGTTCTGTAATTTATTTATCTATCAACACAATTTAAAATTTGATGTATAGCCTGAAATCTGTAATTTTGACACAATTTGAAACAYTGTTTTACAAAGAGCAAATCTTTCTCACTAAATTGGTCATGTGACTACGAAATAAGGGTGTCCAGGGACTCCAGGGGATTAGTTGTCAAATTAATCGTTATCGACTAAATACCACAATTAATCGTGACTAATTTTTTTGCCAATATTGCCCAACCCTAGTAAACGCTAGCTAAAAGTACCAAAAACACTAGCCAAGGGTAACAAAATATTAGATAAAAGTAGTAAAACATAAGCTGTAAGTACCAAAAAGCAAGCTAAAAGTAGCAAAAAGCTATCCACAGGTTGGAGTTTCAGAAGTTTAAATGGTTACATGTTTTCTATCACGATACATATCATTACTGAGTTATTGTCCAGCCCTAACTGAGCACAAGTAGGTGCTCTTTTAGGGCAGGTAGTCACTGGGGTGCTACCCCAAAGGTTATCAGATGGATCTACACGACCATATTCTGCCCCATGCTATACTATGCTGCTTTAGYGTGGTGGGGTGCTGATTTTGCACAACCACAGTGAGAGAGAGTACAGATACCCACCAGATGGTTTTGTAAAGGTATCTCAAGGTGAGATATATGCAYTCCACCAGTGTGTGGCATCTGTCAAAGATCTTCAGTGTACACAGAAAGAAACATTCGTCCTGACAGATAGCCAAGCTGCTATTAAAGCTCTCCAAAGGCCACACTTTACGTCACTACTGGCTTGGGAGTGTGCCGAGGCAGTCAACCAACTGGGGAGAGATAACAGTGTTACTATAAAATGGGTACCAGGACATACTGGCATCTATGGTAATGAGAGAGCTGACCACCTTGCAAGAGTTGGTAGTCAAGCCCACTTTAAAAGACCAGAGCCTGCTATAGGCATTTCAACAACAATCTGTAGGGCTGTCCTACAGGCATGGATCAGACGTCGACGCTCAATCTATTGGAGGGAGCTGATGGAATGCAGACAGGCACGAGAACTGAAAAATGGCCCAAATCCTTGGTTTGGAAGAGTCCTTCTTGCCCTGACGAGGAAAACTTTAAGTACTTTGATTGGAGTCCTAACTGGGCATAACTTGCTCAAACGCCATGAAATGGTGATGGGACTTCGTGAAAATGGTCTGTGTGATGCCTGTGGCATTGAATCAGAGACCTCTTTGCACTACTTGGGCCACTGCTTGGCCCTGAGTAGTCANTGTGGCCTGTGGCATAGAGTTAGAGACCTCTTTGCACCACTTAGACCAATGCTTGGCCCTGAGTAGTCAAAGGGAAAGAATTCTTGGAGAACCTTTTATGGATCCTGAGAAGCTCAGAACACTGAGTGTTTCTAACCTGTGGATAGTGTTTTGGTAGTTGTGCTAGCTTTGCTTCGCCTTTTAGCTGACATTTTGCTATTGTTAGCTAGTGTTTTGCTACATTTAGCTTTGTGCTCAGTTTATTTATTTTTTTTGATTTGGTTTATGGGGTGGGTACAATCCTTGTGAGCGGGGGCCTCATAAGTGGGCCCATTATTCTCCCTAAAGAGACACTGAGGTTTTAATCAAACTTTRGTGTCCCTCGAAAGAAGGACTCACAGCTTAGAGTTTTACAAGTGAAACCTGTCAAACAATGAAACAAGTTTATTTGAACCATTATTTGTTTTTTCTTTCCCAGATAAGATCATTTTCCAAAACTCCACCCAGCAAAGTGGAGAAAACACCAGGTGAGTTTATTTTCATCTGTTTGGCAGCAGGAAGTTGATCCTCTTCACATGCTCACAGTTGCTGGATGACAAGTCAGTTAAACTTCTAACGTCTGGTGTTTTCTAGTTGTTGTCAACACACCGGTTCCAGAACCAAAACATAAGAAAGTTGGACTCGGTGAGTTGTTCTGCGGCCTTGCTGAGTTTCTACTTCTGCTCGTTTTAATATTCGTTTTCTGTTTGACTTCCGATTGCTTGTTACCCTCCCTCGGTGCCGCGCGTGTAGAGGAGTCGGTCTCTGCTCTTAAACTGGATCCGATTCAGGAGTTGTCAGAAGAGGAGAAAGGTAAAGCGGCTCAGAACTGCGGAGCGGATCGGCTGCATGCTGCTGCATGAGCGAAAGCATCGGTCTGTTCTGAGCAACACTTTACTTAAAACCATAGTCCAAATGTTTTTAATTAAGGTTCTGAACAAATAATAACTTACTTGTTGTAAAAAAGCTCTTTGAACGACCTCAGTTTAGATAACCGGTTTCTTTTTGTCTAAACTGATGAGCAAATGCATGGSTGGGCAATCCTGGTRCTCGAGGGCCGCAGCCCTCACAGRCCTGCATGTTTTACTTGTTTCTCTGCTCCAACACACCTGATTTGAATGAATGGGTGATTATCAGGCTTCTGCAGAACTTGGTAGATCAGAAAAACTAAAGTGCAATTAATCTATTTAATGTAAATAAAAATGTCAGAAAGCTGTGTGTTATGGATTTAAAAACAGAAAAGAAGCAAAAAAGTTTCATTTCACAAGCAACAGATTTTATATTATTTTCTTCGACATGGACTTGATCAGACCAGAACTGAAGCTAATAATGTAACATTTTAAATTTAAAATAAGTTATAAAGTCTAAGTAGGTATTTATGACAGTAAGAAATAATAAATGCAGCTTATTACTATCTGAAGACATAATTTTTCTAGCAAAATGTCTAAAAAAACTAGTTAAAAGTCTAAGTTATTGACCGACTTCAGGTCTAGTTTAGATTAGGGCTGTGTGGTAGTCTGTAGAAACGGTGTGAAGTTGGCCTACGGTAGAAATTTACCCTCTACCGTCCTGTCGTCATTACATCATCGCACCTGTGTCAACAGGGCTGCGAGTGCAGAAAGGAGAAGGATTTTAAAATATAATAAAGAAATATAGTGTTTTAAAACAC